GTTGATTCATTTTGCCAGACTCCATGTTACTTCTATAACAACACTTAAATCCCGTTATAAAAATAAATTCTTTAACAATGTTCCACCATTCTTTATTTACAAGCAAATACAACGTTTAACAGGTCAAATTTGTATTGCGTTCTTTTTGATCTTTTTGTATTTTCTATCTCTTCAAGTTGCTGGTCGATAAATTGCGGGCGCAGTGCAACTTGCAAGGGCGTTACCAGTGGGCGTTACCAGTGGGCGTTACCTAGACTTACCACAAGTCGACCATGGGGGAGGGCAATTGCTAGATAGTATACTTCAAAATAAGGTTTCCATTTTTATATCAATTTTTAAAATAATTAAAATAAGTTAGGGTTAGGTTAGGGTTTAGGTTGGGGTTAGGGTGAGGGTTAGTATTAGGGTTAGGGTTTAGTTTTGCGTTAGGATAGTTTTTTCTACGTTATAAAAACGGAAACCTTATTTTGAAGTATACTATCTAGCGATCACCCATGGGGCAGGGAGGGAGCGCGCAACCCGAGCGACGAAGTCGCGAGTGGTCGACTTGTGTCGCTTGCAGGAATTTAAATCGCATTAAAAATTTTGGCGCGAATAATTTTGACATATTAAAAAGGGTGTGTACATTTCATAGAAATTGCTTCACCGCGCGCCGTCAATGGGTCTACAAAAATATTCTCAAGAATTGATATTTCTTTGACCTCGAATGAAACAGTTTGCACCGAGTGTGGAAACGAAATAACTGACCCAAGTAAGCGCCGAAAACTGTTAATGTATCAACAAAAACAAGTGCATGTAAAAACTTATTGAATCTAGACAGTTGTTTTGTCTAACAATGTGTGCCGTAATTGTGTCGACAAGAATAGTAATTTAGGGAGCATTCATTTTTTAGCTGGGGGGTGGGTGGGTGGGCCGGAGGAGCTGATGTCTAATTCCATGCGAAAACTTGGAACCCCCAAGACAAAAGTTGATAAAAAATTATGACCCCCTATTTTTTTACTGAAAATTTTTTGACCCCTCATCCTAACTATTAATCCACACAGTGTCGTTTCCATAGCGTTTCAGGGCCGTAGGAAGCTCTTTTTGACTTGGGGGGCTGAAAGCGAGGGCCGAAGGCCCGAGGAAATTTTTAAATCTAGAGTCTCTGAAATGCCATTTCCTGGCCTTTGGGGGAAGATTTGACAGAATTCTGATGGTCAGAAAACAGCGTTTTAGTATGTCAAAATTGACAATTTGGTAGTACTAAATGAGCGAAGGCGTATTTAATTTACTATATATTGGATAACTAGGATAAGTTGCAGGAAACTGTGGGTACTATCTTCATTCTTTGCAGTTTTTCATGGATAATGTAGCCGCTTAAAATTAATAAAGCTTAAAATTGATCAAGTTCTGCATGATTTTGAAGTCATGCAGACTTTGAAATCATGCATGATTTTGAAATCATGCTACGGTCCTGCGTTTTTTTCATTGATGTTTTCACACAAAAACGAGGTCAATTGACAAACGTCATGGAAATGTTTTCCTATGGACTGTGTGAACAGAGCGTCAAATGAATTTTGCTTCATTGTTATAGATGACGAGATAGTTGATAGATTCTAGACCTTTTTACCATTCTTGATCCAAATATTTCCAAATTCAATAAAATCATATTGGTGATTTTTCCACTGATTATTTTTATGACCCCCTCCATTTATAACAAAACTATAAAAAGACCCACCCCTTTGAAGCATGTCAAAATTGGCTGACCCCCCCCCAAATTCCACCGCCCCCCCCCCCAGCTAAAAAATGAATGCTCCCTTATTAGACTTATTAAAGAAAGTTGATTAAGTTCGCGAGCGATTTAACGTAGTAGAAGTTAATCTAATTGAAAAGAATCAGACAACTGTAACCAAGAAGCAGAGAGGCGGCTATTGTGATCAACGAGAAGACGTCGCTAGAGTTCAAAGTCCAGTGAAAATACGCGTTGTTTTCTCAGCAAACGAATTTGTAATAATCAGTAATCGAGATCAAGAAACCCAAATTAAACCCGAAACTAGTGAGGAAATTTTAGAATCATCAGATGCATGCATTTTCCGTGACAGTATTAAAGTTTATTTTTACACCCTGTAGGCTGCATGTACTCATAGTCAATGTAATGTTTGCCGTTTATGTATTTTCACATGGTTTTTGTGTTCTACAAAATTGTATTTACATTGTTTACTCAGGTTTGCTTCAATAATAAATGCTTGTTCAACAAAAAAGCCTGAGAATATAATGTTATTTTTAGACTCCTTCGATAATGATCAATAAGGGGCGGACCATTTGACTTTTGAGGGGGGGGGGGTGGAAGATTTCGAAAAAAAATTTCCTGCAACCCAAGGAGAAAGAAAAAAAAAATCATGCAGCACACAATCGAGAAAAAAAAATATCATGCAAAAGAGAGCGCTCAAAAAAAAAATTTCTACATGTAACTCTACTGATGCTCTTCACTTCAGGGGGGAGTACACCTGAAAAATAGGGCGATCTAAAATGTTTTATATTTGCACAAGGTTACATCCAAACCCCCACAAACTATATATTAGTAGAAAGCTTAGAACCTGGAGATTCAGAAAAAAAATATTTCAAACAGTGAAAAGCTGTATTAAGGTGGCTCTGCACCGTTCATCAAATTTTCGGTTTAGCTTTATTCAAGAAAAGATTGCACTAGCTGTGTATTATGAAATTTGATTATTTATACATTTTTTAAATACTTACATAGGGATTATTGTTTTAAGCATAGAGAATTTTGATTGACAAAAAAGAAAAAAAGTTATGGGTTTGGGAAGTTAGGCGTCAAATTTTTAAAAGGTAAAAATTGTAGTAACTTTTGATATTTTTACTCAATCAAAAGTCTCTATGCTTAAAACACAAAGCTAAGTGAGAGGAGCATTCTCTGAAAATTTCAGTGCAATCCAATAAATTGTTATCGAGATATCTTTTCTCAAAGTCTAAAATATCCGAAAATGAGAAAAATGAGTTTAAAGTCTCTTGTATCGAAAACACTTGATTTTTCATACATTTTGAAAATCTTAAGCCTGGATAATTTAAATCCTACCATTTACTTGGTGTTTTAAAAAGTTTTGTTACAGTTTAAAATCCTCTAGCCTCTTTATGTCACTCCTTCAGCTTCCCAAATAGTTTCTTCCCGTTGCGTTCAAATCAGTTTCTCTCCTTGGCATCGTTTCTTCTCTTTTTCAGTTGCCTGTAAATCAGATTTCTTCATTCGCTGCACATCGATCTTGCATCACAAGCTTGTTTTGTTTTACCCCCAGAGTAAATGGACAGCTGTTTCATAACACCAAGTCGACTCTTTGCTCCAATATGGAAGTGGGGGAATAGCGGCAGCTACAGGACATCACACTGCTTTGCGGCCATGTTGTTTATGCTTTGGATACTTAGCCCAAGCTAGAGCATTCAAACTGCCATTTTGTTTTTCAGTTGTGCCAAGAACACACCTTTGAAGCAACTGTGTTTGACTAAGAGAAATGACCAACACGTCCACTTTCATCTTCTTCCAAAGTTAAATTTCCTAAAGAAATGACCATTAACATTTTTAAAACAATTGACACATATATGTACTGTATATTGCAACTGTTTACATGTTACACAACAAATATATACAACTTTTGTTGCAGAATAGATATAAAAGGAGTTTGCAGGAGTACAATTTAAACCATATGTTATATTAAACCAGTTTTGAAGGATAAGATATAAAACACAAAGGGCAAATTCTTACCTTCCTCACACATGTGTTGAATATTTGAGACAGCATAATTGGATTGGCAGCCAAACTGCTCAGCCTGTATTCGTGGATATTTTCTTCGGTGTAATTATCACTATTGTCATTTCTGATTTCACATCGTAATTTTCTTGAAGTTCCAATAACATTACTTTGGTTTGAGCCATCAACATTGTCTGTTTGGCGATTCACACGTGGGATCATCATTACTCATATTTTGATCTCGTGTTGAGTCACGATCTTGGTGTCTTTGCTTACCAGAAAACCTCTTTCCCTTCCTTTTTCGCTTGTATTAAGAAGATCTACTCTTCGTACCGGTCATTGTTATAATTTGAAGAAAAGAGATACATTTCTTGGCCTTCAATTCGCATTGTTTTTTGCTTCAACATGCATCGACGTACACAATTCATTGCATCAACAAATATCAGACTCAAATTCAAACAGGAGCCCGCGATGTAATAGCAACGTAGGGACGTCATGTACCACAATATATAGTGTACGTGCTATACACATGCTAATTTGGGCAGTTTCAGCCGAACAATGGGCAAAAAACCGTCAAAAAACAAAAAAATGCTGTTACCGTTGCCATAGTAACGGAATCAGCATATTCAAACAATAATAATAAAAGCCTTTAAAATACATGAAGATGTTGGAATTTCAAAAAACTCTTTTTCTATATGTTAGTTAGGTATCTGAAGTACCTGAAAATGCAAAAAAATATTTTTTCATTTTTTCGCAAAATTTCAGGTGTACTCCCCCCTTCAGTATTGTGTCCACAGGCTTGCAAGATTTTGCATTTTTGAGCAGGCACATTTGCTTAAAAGAACACGGGGTGAACAGTGGATAACATCACAGGGATTCTACCGCCTTTGGAGCCTCTGACATACGATAGCCAGTGGTGTTCCCTGGCAAAATTGTTGGCCCCCCCTGAGAAAATCTGGGCTTAAGATAATTATCCATGGCTGAAAACGCAGGAAATAGCATTTCCGAGGTTCAAATTTTAAAATTTTCTTGGGGGAGCATGCCCCCGAACCCCCCAAGGTTACAGGTCATTCATATACTGTACCCCAGTGGCGTAACTACCATGGGCTCAGACCGGGTGAACCCGGGGGCCCCCAACCCAAATGGGGGCCCTCAGGCTTAGGCGATAGGGCAAAAACATTGGCCAGGGCCTCTGATATGTTACAATGTCGTTTTATGACCATCAGAATTCTGTAAAATCTCTTCCCAAAGTCCAGGAAATGGCATTTCAGAGAGTCTAGATTCAAAAATTTTCTGGATGACCATGCCCTGGACCCCCTAGAAAACTCGTGCATATACGGCGCTCGACTCGTGCCTTTGGCACTTCTACTAGGGGGGCCTTCGAAAATTTTGAACCGGGGGCCCCTTGATATAACGTTACGCCACTGCTGTACCCTCCCCCATTTTGGAGTACTGTACTCTACTCTATCCCTGCATGTTTTAGGTTTTGGTGCAGTTATACATTCTTTGTAAGTAAACTTGCACGCTTTAGTGTGGGGAACATTAAGACATAACCATATAAAATAAAGCACAGTGAAAATTCTTTGGCCCCTCTTGGGATTCAGTTCTCGGCCTCCTCTGACTGAAAACCCCTGCTACGTCTCCGATGATAGCTATATGAAAGCCTAAAGTTGCTGTAAGCCGTTATTATGAGAGGCAAAAAAAAATATCCTGCGGCCAAATATATTGGGAAAAAAATATCTTGCGCTGCACTTTTACAGGAAAAAAATATCTGTCTCGTTCGCCTGGGCGGAAAAAAAATTCTTGCACAGACTGAATCTTCCACCCACCCCCACCCACCCCTCAAAAATCAAATGGTCCGCCCCTAAATTTAAACCGCTTCGGCCTTCAATGTAAACAATGACGTCACCGGTGGATTTTTCCACCGGTGATATTTGGCGCACTGCAAGTGACAAAAGTCCTTTCCACAGAGGAAGTCAAGCGCGCCATAGAGGGTCTGGAAAGGACTTTGGAAAGTCTAGGCGTTACCCTATACCGCCGGTTATAATCTACTAAATCCTCTCTCGAAACGTCAAAGTTCTGTTTATATTTTGCAGGTAGTTGTCTTGTATACAGCTCATCCATTTATGGTTGTCCTTTCAAAGTCAAGATTCAAAGAAAGAATTCGTCAGTGGGGTGAAGGGGGCATCAAGGAAAAGGCACCTATTCATCTATACTAGACAGGGACCGTAGAGCTATTGCATAGCTGGAGGTAAATTTGCCGGAAAGCCAGCCTCGTACCCAGGCGCAAATAACGTACTAAAAATAGCAACACTACCAATCTCCTACCTAGAGCACTGCCTGTGCGCGGGCTAGGATGGCATTGGCTCTAGGGAAATTGAATTTTTCCTGTGCTGTGATTGGTTTAACGTTTATCAATCGTGCATGCCGACAAAGAACCGGAACCCCTAAATTTAGGGGTTCGTTCCGGTTGTCAATTTCCCCAGAGCCAATGCCATCCTATCCCGCGCACAGGCATTGCTCTGGGTACGAGATTGCAACACTACAGTGTTTCTATGCACTCGCTCATCTTAGCCATCTATATAAAAACACTGTAGTGTTGCTATTTTTAGTACGTTATTTGCGCCTGGGTACGAGGCTGCCGGAAAGCTATCAACTCTCTTCACGTGGGGAGGGGGGAGGAGGCATGTATACGTGCCTGTCCTAAAGCAACTTTTGCTTTTCTACTTAATATAGCTATGCCTGTTTGTCATATTGTAGAATGGCGCAAAATCTTACTGCATGACGCGTCACTGCTATTAGAAAGTCTAAAATGAATTCAGAATTTGGAAGGGCAAATTTCGATGTAGGTTTATTTGCATGCTTCACGTACTAAGCTAATGTCCAATTTTAGGCTTCAAATAAGCAGTACAAAGGTTTTAGATTCTTTAAACTGGACAACCTTTTTTGAATTGGCTGCATATATGCCTTAATAACTTCATTGTGCATTAATTACTCGATGCACGAACGTATTTTTTTCATAATCATAAAGACTATAGCCGGCTTTAGCTGTAAGATGACACGTTTTTCATCTAATATATGTATGTATTAACAGAAAGCATGCGCAGATAGTCTGATGAATTGGCGCTGTCTGATTAGAGAGAAAGTTGTAATAACATGGCATGCTTGGAAAGGATACCAAAAGTAAGACCTTGATTGATGTCCAATACCGAAGATTCGAGTCAAATAGAAAAATCGAAATTCAGGTTGTTCAAATCGATCCATTCACAAAATAGTATAAGAATCACTGAAATTTGTAATTTATCAGTCAAACAGACACCATTTAATGGTCAAATGGTGACCAATAATAGCTATAATAAGTTCTTTATCGCCATGTATGTTTGCATGGCGATAAAACATGCATATAATAGTTTTGTTTGTGGAAACACCACGTAAATTTATTACTGCAAAGCTTTCGATCCGTTAGCCCAGAGGCCCCGGATCTTCATCAGTGCTAATAATATGTGACTTACTGACTTGTTTAATTCACACGCCCTTTTTATATACAAAAGTGTCGTGACACGATATGTGATTCGAAATTAAAGTGACAAATACTTGCGTTAATAAGAAATAAAACATCGTATTGACGAAGCCGAAGGAATATATGTGGCAAGTTTTATTGAATATTCTCAACTTTGAGACTTTCAATTTTCGGTATAATATATAATTTATAGATCCTCGATCCGTTCAGGGGATTTGACAAAATATCACCCTCAGTGATGATATTTCCCTCGGGGTTACCATCACTTCGAGTAATACTGTTTCGCCGATTATCCCCCTCGCTCCAGGTCTATAAATGATAAACTATCTATCAGTCTGCAGATACATTTCTACTATTGGGGGGGTGGGGGGGTGGGGGAGAATCGGAGACTATATACCTCCCAGCGAATTAAGTTATGAATTATATAATTAGAATTAGATGCATGCATAAACCCCTCGCCTTACTAGCAAAACCACTATATTTTCCAAACATGAAGTATTTGAAGTGGGTGTCATGGTGTAAAAACGTAATTGTTTTTATATATTTTCCTAAATTGAAAAGAACGGCCTGAAATTATCACTTTTATTTACAAAATTATCAATTTCCCAAATATATACGTTATAGGTATAAGTTATAATATGTGTATATATGTAACAACTAGCGCATGACTCGGAAAACTATTTATTGTTTTTCGTTCTTTCATGTTGAGAAAGAGAATATACATATTGGCATATGGCCACTTGAGATTTGAGAACTGATTATCGATCCAAGTCCAAGTACCTGATTGAGAATTACTCTATAACTGTAGTGTACAGTCACCAGTATAAGTGTCATTGATTGCATGCATGCATTTTTTTGTAAGTTTTAGCCTGATGCATAATCACATATAGGCTATATCAAATATATATCTTCAGTAACAGTGAAGATTTCGCACACCAAGTAGCACGCCCAACAGACGAATAACCCAATATTCAGCGATATATATATATATATATATATATATATATATATATATATATATATATATATATATATATATATATATATATATATATATATATATATATATATATATATATATATATATATATATATATATATATATTTACTACTTAAAATATATATTTACTATTTAAAATATTCATTCACAATTCATAAACCTTGGGGCAAATCATGTCAGCCATAATATGTCACGTGGAGTGACATTATATCTGATGAAATATAAATCAGGTATATACTTTACATATATATATATATATATATATATATATATATATATATATATATATATATATATATATATGTAGTAGTTTTTGAGTTGTTTTCAGACGAGTGTATACCAAACCGGGCAAGCAGAAAATTCTACTTGATCAGCCGCGGTATATATATATATAATATCAGAATATCAGGCACCTTATCAGGTAAAACATCGTCAGACTTTTAATATGAATACCGTCTTTTTTCCTTTCAGATACATCTATAAGTCGATGAATTTCCCTGAATACAACCCCCTTCAATAAAAAAAATTACAAAAGATTATAATTATTGGTGCACGTTTTAGCTTTCTTGGTGCTGCCAATGTTTTGGTAATTGCATGGTCACACAACCCGAACTGATTTGGCCTTTTTTGCATGTAAAGATCAGCCATTTTGGTATAGGTGACTATAAAAACATATTTTCAGATTGAATCAATCCCACCGCAAGAATACATGCAGAAATTTCGAGAAGCAGGAAGAAAATATTTGCACTTTTCGAACAACAAGAAGGTTATTCCTGGCGAGACGTTTTGCATTAAATGTAACGATTGTATGTAAATAACACTGTCAATATCAGTATCACTACTTTATATTAATAAGTAAATAAAAAATAGCGGTCTTTTAAATTTGAATAGATCAATATATGTCATATGATCATCAAATATATCAAGAATACATTTGTAGTCAGAGGTTTTAAGCTACGTTTACACGCTGCGATTAATCGTGTGTAGCCTATACGATTCGTTTTCTGGCGTATGTCATCGTGTAAACTGTACACGTATGCTGGCTACATTTGAAATTTCTTTTTAACGAAACGGCAATGAATTATGGCGCCATGCAGACTTTAATCATAGAAACATTGATAGTGTAAGCGAGCCTTTAAAGTTCAGAAAATATCTCTATTTTCGGCAAATTGTCCGTTCGGCAAAAAGTCTTTTCGGCGAAAAGTCCGTTCGTCTAAATTTCCGTTCGGCAAATTAAAATGTCTGTTCGGCAAAATGTCTTTCGGCAAAATATATTGAGTACAGGCTTTCTGCATGAGTATAGGCTTGATATACATATCAAGCCTACTCAGAAATCAAGCCTATATACTCAGAAATGTTCTGAGCCCTATATACGGAATTGAACCACGTAACTTTCTGATAATCGGACAGACGCTCTAACCATTGAGCTATGAGGCCACATGAGAGATATATATATATAGAGAGAGAAAGAGAGAGAGAGAGAAGCATGTTTACTCATGGATAAAAAGGTGGGAACCTGGATCCTGAGAAACTGACTTGCCTTAGCAACAAGATTGCGGAACATTTTGAAATTTTCACGCGTACTGTAAGGAAGAATTTTAAGGAATCATATTTAGTTATCTTCATGCCATTTGAGTCTATTTTGAGATTGTTTTGTTTCAGCAATTTTACAACCAATATAATTGAGGAACATTTGAAAAAGGCAAATTCAGGATCCGAGGAACATTGAACACTTTTTCCAGGTCTGTAAATATAAAACGATTTAATATATAGGCTAGGCAAGCGTGCTCAAGAAATGTAAATATAGGCAAGAATGCTCAAGAAAGATAAATTATATAATGGAAATTTTATTGACGCATGCATGGTTGTGCATATTATTTAAAAGATTAGTAGCTATATTTGCTTTTGGACCTCACCTTTTAACATTCATGCAATATATTTAATACATATATATATGTTAGCTATTATAATATAATAGAATAAAATAAAGTCTTTGTCTGAGTCTAATTGCTTTAGTTTCGGCGTCTTGTTAGTTCCCCTCTTCCCCTATCCCAACCTCGGAAGTAAAAAAGTCTTTCATGTCTGGGTTAGTTTTTGCCATACTAGAGAGGTAATTCAGATTTTACTACCACTACCTCTCCCTGGCTTAGTATATACCCTTCTGATTGGTTAATCGGATATTATCAAACGCGTTTGATTGGTCAATGGTCCAATAATGGTAGCGGTAGGGGAAGTCAGATCTCAACCTCTCAATATTGCTCTGGCGGAGTGCTGAGTTAACTTCCCCTACTCATGAGCGTATAAAAATAATATTGCAAGGGTGGACGTTGTTATAACATTGAGGTTGGAGTTCGAAGAAAGGTTGCAGTGTACTGTCAGTCGAAAAATGAGAGCTGATGTTATTTTCCTTCTGGCTTTTACAGCCATGATGGTGTTGACTTGTAAGTCAAATGGTTTTTAAGTTGTTTATACTTCGGTCTTCACATGCATTGTAGATTTTTGGAAAGGTCCGCACAAAATCACAAATACAGTGCGCCGGCCCGTGAACAAGAAAAATATACCGTATATATAAAGATCGTTAGGTGTGGGACTAAAATTGACTTTATCGTCAATAATTCTGTAACGCTCCTTCCTCTTATGCTAGGGTGCATGTTAAACCATGCAACTCAACAAATAGACGCTTAGCTTTGTATAGTAGGCTAAACCCTTTTCACTATGATCATTAATTTTCAATTACGTTATGCAATTAGAATAATTTCATTATTCCTTGCCTTGCAGGTGCAGAAGAAGGCAAATATGACGAAGAAGGCAAATATAAATATATACTCTTGAGTCTTGTTATAACGTATACCAGTTATATATACCCAATTGCTGCACCCTTTCATATTCCAGTCTGTCTAGGGCTGGCAATTTAATTCGTGATCTCACCAGCATGAGTGTATAATCATTTGGTTAATTATAGGCTAGACAAAAACTCGTATATCATGAGTGCATCCATTCTCCCCCGTATACTGGTTCTAAACGAAGTACAACCTGACCATGTACCAATATCAGCATAGCAGAAAATGTAGCTATACACATACAAAATTCAGCTTCAAAATTCCGAATATTGCCAATTCAAATTTGACATGAAATATCTTCACAACAGATGAAACGGAGATGTTAGACAGCGACGCCGATTGGCCGGAGCGAGAAAGTGAGGAAAATCATAAATTATTAATTGAATATGACATATTATTAGGGATTTACTCTAAATTTAAGTGCTTACGTCACGCAATTTCAATTCATCTAAACATTACGTATGTACGCAATGCAATGTGGGATACATGTGGGAAAATATTTATTGTCTGACAATGACGTGACGTAAGAAGTTCTAAGGTCAATTGAATGTACAGGTGTTATTTAATAATGCAATGGAAGTAAACTGTTTCTGTAAGTTTTCATTAATTCTGTTTTAAAAAGAAAAATACGTGATTTGGAAGAAAGGACCACGAGGACCACGAGGGCCACGAGGACCACGAGGAGCTGTGGGACGACGGGGGATGAAAGGAAACAAAGGTATATATATCCCCCGTATATATGATGGCGGTGTGATTGATTTGCATTTCACCTAACGCTGTCAATTGATGAGTAGAATTTTTTTACCCATCACATTGGAGCGCAATGAATACCCATCAAAGGAGGACATTTTTTAAACTACCAAATTATTTAGATAGATTGTCCTGTGTTTTATCTATGCGGAGTATATCATATGATATATTTACTTTTTATCACAAACTACGCTTTTTGTTAAAATTATGTTTAGTAAAAACCTTTGAAATACAACATTCATTAATTCCCTTTGATATACAACATTCATATAGATTAGAATTTAGAAACCTGAGCAACGAGCATATGCATGTTAGTAGAAATATATTATCAAATTAAATCATGAAAATCAAATCAATCTACATAAATTTATTACATTGTTGCAAACATACATGAATTCAGACAATTTTGGGAAACATTTCATTTTGTAATAACCATAGGGCTAAAATATCTAAAATAATAAATATCTAAAACAATGAAGCAATAAAAGCAATGAATTTGAAGAAGAAACAAATCAATTTTATTCCTTTTGCTAGGATATCAACGCAACAGCTGTCATGCACAACGCACAATGAACTGAAATTTTAAACCAAAATACAGCTTCTAAAACTGAAGAGAATAATTAATTTTTCACTGTTGATAGAAAATTCGTTACTAAATATGTTTAATACTTTTAATATGTGAGTTACGGTCACAAAATTGCTAGGGTTAGGGATAGGGTTGAAGGGTTCTAATTGACGCCAAAAACTAAAAAAAGATAATGGTGTCTAAATAAAAGTTGTCTGTTACATGTTAGGTTACTCCTATACGAATATAGTTTTCTTTGTTTTTGTCAAATACTTTTCCATAACCCGGCGTAACCGCCTTGTGACCGTATATGTGTAATTAAACATAACAATATTTATTATATAGTAGAGAGTGGTGAGATACTGAGAAATACATGTACACAGTGACATATTTTCCATACTTTCACTAGTGAAGATATCGATCACGTGACTTTTAGTATTTATACAATTTTTTGCTTGGGACTATATAATAAACAGAACATTACACGTTGGCTTGAAGATATGACTTTTATCTTCTCGTGTTAAAAACAATATCTTACTCACTCGCTGCGCTCGTTCGTAAAATATTGTTTTCACCACTCGAAGATAAAAAGTCATATCTTCAAGCCAACGTGTAATATCCTCTATATCTAATAGGTGAGGCAGGATTGCCGGGAGTGGATGGTAGGAAAGGGGACAAGGGATCAGCTGGATATAAGGGAGATCAAGGACCAGTTGGACGTCCAGGTGCACCAGGTGTGAAAGGCGACGCTGGTGCATATGTTATAGGACCGAAAGGAGATTCTGGTGATAGAGGGTTGTAGGGAAAACCTGGCGAAAAAGGAGAGATGGGAGAAATGGGACAACCAGGTATATATACTTTACAATTTATTTTTTTATGGAGGACGTCTTATCATCGACTCGCAAGCCAGGCTCTTTACCTTCAATTCGTAGTTAACAAAAACAATTTTCATACCGCAGTAAGCCAATTCCTTATTCTCGTGTAAATAGTCACAAAATTTTCTCAAGCAAGATTGGTAGTTCAATTAGAAAACCCATAAATTGAACTGAAAATTTGTGAACCAGCCTTTGCAATTATTGCCACTGACATTTTACCTGAGCAATATTTCCAATATGGTCTACTTATTGATTGCTGGCATGCATTTTTTTCCAATAACTTGTCACATCTTAGGTATTTTTCAAACTTATCATTTTTATTATCAGGTGAAATGGGAATGCAAGGTCCGCCAGGAAAAGACGGTAGAAATGGAACACATGGGCGTGATGGACGGCCAGGTCCAGAAGGACCACAAGGGCCAGATGGTCCCATGGGACCACAAGGTCCACCAGGAAAGAAAGGACAAAACGGAACACAAGGACCACCAGGACTGCCAGGATTAGATGGTTTGCCTGGAGGCGATGGTCTACAAGGACGTCCTGGAAAAGATGGAAGAAATGGAACTCGTGGACCTCAGGGAAGGCCTGGTTCAGAAGGACCACAAGGACCCGAAGGACCAAATGGGCCACCTGGAAAAGACGGGAAAAATGGGGCACAAGGGCCACCTGGACCTCCTGGCCAAAGTAAGCATGGAGAGTACACGCGAAAATATTAAAAGACCACTAACCCCAAATATGATTTTTAACATCAGTACGATTTCAGTCATTCTGTGAAAAAACGAAAATCATCTTCATCGACTTTTACTGTACAAGTTTCTGGAAACGTGTTAGATAAGTTCATACATGTTTAGTTTGCATTGTTTACTCTGCTGCAATTAATCCGAAATACTTCACATCCAGCACTTTAATTTGACAGTACCAATGTACTGTAGTACATACGAAATGTTATATGTGCGATGGATCTCAAAACTTGGGCTCCAATTCAGGCAGAAGGATAAGCCGCATTCGTTGATGTTTGCTCTTTCAATTATTTGTGAAAGATATAGGTCCCTATAGTTTCAACTTTTGATAGATGAGCCTTCGATAGCAAATTAGTGACGTTAGGATATAGGAGCTATTAGTGAAATGCCTTCGGTCGGAATGTTGAAATATTTATGTATAAATATCTTTTCCGGCCGTTCAGACTTAAATTACAACATGCGAATGTCTTATTATAATATATGTTCTCATATATTACCTCCCCTATTTATTTATCCACCTAACATAGTCAGGTTATAATTTAACTACTGCAGGAAATCCTGGTCAAATTAACTAGACTATATAGGTTAAAATAAGCAGGAAAATTAACAGGAATATTACGTTAATCCAAATAGTGTTATTAATTTCTGTATACGTTTTTATCCATCATCCCACTATCATCAGTAGTGCAGTGACCAGGTCATAGTAACTTTTCCTTTTCCATGCATCATCAGTGGTTCTTCAGAAAAATAATTTAATATTCTGTTGACATTTAGTAATTAATGGAGTAAATTAGAGACCAGATCGGAACGTATCACACACACATATTCAAACACAATTCGTCTTCAAGTAACATAAATAAATTCTAGCTGCAATTCCCTAGCTCGATAATTGATAATATCAACCAATTAGTATAATATAAGTTTAATCAAAGACCTTTGAGGCCAACTCACGAATGGATGATCGAAGGCCGAAACGGTACCGTATATATATATATATATATATATATATATATATATATATATATATATATATATATATATATATATATATATATATATATAGCTTAAGATTTTGGTTTACGAGACACAAACAGTGCTCAATACCATATAGATAGAGCGTAATATAGTTTTTCGTTTTACCTCAAAAAACCACAACAGTCTGTTTCATCCGTATAGGAATCATCAGGTGGTGAATAATTTCGAAATTGTAGGTTGCTTTTATGCTATCGAAAGAATGTGCGGAATGCGTGTAGGCGAAACAATGCTTAGGTGAAACAATGCATGCTTGGGTCATTAGGTTTTGTTAACGACCTTGTTTACTCGAAACCGGTTTTTGTGACGACATTTGCCGAAAATTTCGCTTCTTTTATTGAGTAAATTGTCTTTGTTTATGTCTTTCAAAATTCAAAATTTTTCTTCCAAACATAAATTGCAGCGTTTTGATCCCCCTGTGTACGAAATAGCGTGTTTTAGAATTGACCATTTGATGGTATAATCCTGATTGTTTTCTTTTAATTTCCAAATATGTTTCGAAAGTTCCGTTTTGTTTGAGTCTTTTTTATGACGAAAAGATGAAGTGTGGTTAGCGTAACGTTCGTTAAATGTAGTCGCTGTCATACCAATGTAATGTTTAGTGTCGTTCGTGTTGTTCGTTGTGACTGTTGCTTTGTAAATAATGTTGTTGGTCATGCATTGTTTCGGTAGTGGGCAAGTGTTTTTGTTGTCGCAGTTACAGTTGTCAGTTTCCGTATTCTGCGATTGACTGTTCCTAATTATATGTGCGTTGTGTTTGGTGATTATGGACTTAACGTTGTTCATGCAACTGTAGCTTACTTTTAAAGTGTTTCTGTTAAAAATCTTGTGTAGTTTGTGCTGTAGCGGGAAGTGTTTGTCAATTAAACTTAAGAATTCCCGTCCTATGTTCGTGTTAAGAATTCCCTTCCCGTGTTAAGAATTCCCGCCCTATGTTCGTGTTAAGAATTCTTAAGAATTCACGGTGTTACAAGTGACGGTTGAATCTTCCGTATGATGACGTTGGACTTGTTTGAATTATACGCGTGATGGCACAGCGTGCGCACGTTCAAACTTTCCCGCGAGGAATCGCTTCCGGTGGCGGCACTTCGAGAAAAGTTCACACCGCTTGTTCAGTAGTTTTGTCTTATCACCTTTCAGGATATGCAATTTTTCCTGGAGACAAAGATCACAGTTTTTTGCGCCGCTGCGATAGGAAGGTGTTTGTTTTAGTATTGTCCATTTAATGTTGAATCTGCGTTTCTCTTTCTTTAATTGCCAAATGTATTTGGATAGCTCGGTGGAATTTCGTTTGTCTGGGTTTTCGAACGAGGTTTTGTGATTCAAGCAATCGCTTGGGCTCAAAACTACGTCGCCATCAGTGAACAACAAGTCGAGATTATTAAACACGCACGGAACTCCCTTCTCTTCAGTAACGGTAAAACCTGGATCAAACAACAGGACAACCCCTTGTTCGACGTCACCATGGGGAGTTATGATGGGGCAGAAGTTTGTGAACTCGTAGGGTTATTTATACTCAACTCTCTGGCAAAAAAATATGGTAAAGAACGCGTTGGCCTTTATCGAGATGACGGACTCATTCTCTTAAGTGGGACATCCGCTCGACTTGCTGACAAAGCAAGAAAAGTTCTTCACGAACTGTTTGAAGAATTCCATTTGAAAATCACCGCAGAGATCACACACCAATCCGCCAACTTCCTTGATGTCACTTTTAACCTACGCGATGAAAGCCATCAATCCTATCATAAACCTAATAACGACCCGCTTTTCATTGACAGCCGTTCAAATCATCCTCCTGCAATCACGAAGCAACTTCCAACTTCAGTTAACATGCGGATTTCACAGCTATCGTCCAACCAAGAAGCTTTTTCAAACACCGCTCCTCTGTACGAAGCTGCCCTTCGCCGTAGCAATTACCAAGCGAACTTGAAATATTCCCCCAATAATTCCAAGACCAGGAAACAATCAAGTAACATCATTTGGTTTAATCCACCTTATAGTACGAACGTAAGAACCAACGTGGGTAGAAATTTCTTAAGTTTGGTTGACAAGCATTTCCCCCCCATCAAATCCACTACACAAAATATTTAACAGGAACTCGGTGAAGGTTAGCTACAGCTGTATGGACAATTGTAAAAGCATCATATCCAAACATAACATCGGTATCCTGTCCAGAAGTAAGACAGCTACATCACCAACAACAAACGGCAATGATAACTGTAACTGCAGAAACACCGACAATTGTCCACTCCAAAATAATTGCCAGATAGAAAGTGTCGTGTACAAAGCGGAAGTCGAGGTTGACAAGGAGACTACCAAATAATATATTGGCATGACTTCGACAACCTTCAAAAAGCGCTTTGCGAATCACAAAACCTCGTTCGAAAACCCAGACAAACGAATTGTGTAAACATTGTATAATTGTACATATATATATATATATATATATATTCACTATTAATCAACGAGTCAATGAATCAAACAATCAATCAAATAATTTATAAATAAGCATAAAAATAAATAAATAAAAATATACATATATAAATAGTTTATAGTGTCGTCTGAAAAAGAAATAAACAGATAATTACGACTAGTTGGCTCAGTGAAAATTAGGGGAATTTGTTTGTCCTTACATTTTCTAAACTACTACAAAAGTCCCCCATACATGAACAAAACCCTTAACGCGTTATGTGTAAAATCAGAATCTCAAAAAAGCAACAGGAATGCTTTGTGCATTTTATCTGATCCCTGCATGGCGATAAATTAACCAATGTACTTTACGACAGACAGACAGTTCTAAGTTACTTCGACACTATGACACGCAAAGCACCCTGATCAATTCCCATTGTTTACTCTTTACAGATATAACCGGTCCTCCTGGCCCTCCAGGTGGAGCAAAGTGCACGATTTTGAAAGGCCAAACTGAGCCATTGATTTGTGATGAAAATTATATCATGGTACGTTGTTGGGGTTCGTGTGGTGAAGAACGCATGTATGGCAAATCAAAATGTGTTTCAACGTGCAAATATCGGAAGAGAGCATTACAATACTTTTACGCTCTTTGCTGCGAAGTTGATTCAAATTAAGCGGCAATGAATGTACCTAAATTGCGAGAATATATAAATATGCAACTTATACACTAATCAATCTGAAAATTGAGTTGATAATACTAGACATGTACTACTTGTATAATGGTTTAATTAAACATCTTAGAACAATTAAAGCATTGTTTTGTGTTATAATTGTGTAGTTGTGGAAACAATCCAGTACCATAGCTGGAAAAAGCATCTTTAAATGAGTAAAATTGCAAAGTTTGATTGCGAATTGTTGTAAAATGAGGAAAATATAGCCCTGTGAAGTTTGAAAATTTTGTATATGTTTGCATCACGCGCGGGGGAAATAACCATTTTTGAGCCGAAATTGGTTATTTTCACCTCGCGTAATACAGATATATACAATTGGATTTAGTTAATTCTTCTTCCCTTAATCAAAATTAAGTATAGGTTATTTTGAGGCAACGAGGGGATATGTGATTTATTCACCGAGGCGCGCAGCGCCGAGGTGAATAAACACATATCCCCGAGGTGCCTCAAAATAACGTACTTATTTTTCATACTGCGAGGTCGCGTTAATGAGTCAGAAAAGAAATAATTCTTAATGCCATATTGCCTTCGCGATGTTGTTTTTTTCTCAATTTTTGTGCTGCAAAGACATTGCAGGTGAATATTAGAGGGATTATTAATTGCAGGTGAATATTAGAGGGGATTATTAAACGGAAATTGATTAGAGGGGAATATTGAATATATTCCCCGACAAGAACAAAGGAAACCGAGCAGGGTGGAAAATAAGTCTATATAGCTGGAATCACCATTAATAATGCTTAATATCTTTTAATGCTACTAATAAATATAAATATTTTTAACCCCTTCGAAAATTTGCCATTGCACCTTCCGAAAATTTTGCATTTTCAGCACCCCACCCTTCTTTCGATTAAAATTAGTTAAAGATCCTGTTACACGGTGCAATTTTCCATGCAACTTGTTTCGCAATGGCGTTGCGAAACAAGTTCACGAGTCATTGCACCGTTTAACATGCCTTGCAATGGTCAAAATCTTTGCGAGACAAGTTAACAGAGTAGAAGTCGGTTCTACTTTTGGCAACGATTGCACTAATTATTTTTAGCATTGCAGCGTGTAATAAGGCTTCGTGCAACTTGTCTCGCAATGTTTATAGCTTGGAGAGTTCCTATATATTGGCTCTCCTCCCCAGTACACGCTTTACTCTAAATTTGACGCCAAATAGCGCCTCTCCCTAGTCTCTTCGCATGCCTCTATCTCCTATCGTTGCGAGTTGCATGAAAATCATTGCAGCGTGTAACACCTCTTGCAATGCATTTAATATCAAAATCTTTTTTTAAACATTGCGAGACAAGTTGCACGAAAAATTGCACCATGTAACAGGGTCTTAAGTTCCCTGTCCACGCGAAGATTAAATCTTGTCCCCCCCATTGCGCGCGTGTGTACGCGTATACGTATACGGTTGTCACGAAAAAGATGATCGCGTTTAATACTGCATTATTTATTTGAATTGATATACAGCTATTTACTCGCTGGGGCACCTGTGCCCTGGCGAGTATAGGTTTCGGCTCACATTTTTCTCCGATTGATAGCCACAAAATAGAATATTAATGAGCTGCCTAAGTAGTAAAGCCCCCACTCTGGAGTACAAAGGGATGCCGCTAATGACGTCAGGTTGCTCCGAAAGTAATTAGTATGCAAAATCTATGACGTAATTTTGCTGGCCTGGGCCAACTGTGACAGGTAGCGCGACCAATTAGCGCGGGCAAGCCTGGGCCAACTTGGGCCAAATGTGGCAGGTAGCGCGACCAATTAACGCGGGCAGGCCTGGGCCAAACGTAATCAATTAGCATCACAATACAGTAACATCACTATAAATACAGCTAGTGTCCTTTCACCTGCATAGTCTGTATTCAACGCTCACGATGGAATGTTTTCACGGTAAACCAGCTGCTTGTTCTACAACTGCTCGTGGTACGTTTTGGTTTTGTGGCGAAACACCGAGCTG